ATGAAAAAAGGGGGACTGAAATGTACAACCGGAAGACTCAGTTAAGAAAGTTAGTGATCAAAGGATGATCTTAATTCTATGTCTGACTACATCTTCAGTAATTTCACTAATAATTCCATCAGAAGTTTAGTAACAGCCAGTAAGTATAACTGTGAGAACATCATTAAATGTATTCAGCAGTATATTATCATAGTAGACATCTATGATTCTTGAAATGTGAGCGACAGTTTATGTGTGTGATTATATATTTTTATGTTCATAAAAAAACTACCTAGGACTTCATGTGCGCTATTTCCGTGTTTAACAACAAAAAGAGGGTCGCATCCTGAAAAAGTAATCCATCTGAGTAATGCAGCCTTTAAAATAAGACTATCCAGTTTATGAGGGATATGATAGTGATACAAAAAGTGATTTCATTAATCCAATCATGAAAAAAAGATCATAGAGTAATTATTATCAAAACGAGTTTTGTGGAGATTTTAGTAATTTTGTAGTTGACTTCATGAGTCAATTGAAGCTAGGCAACTATGGAAAACACTGGAAGGCCGTTTCGTCCTATTGTGGAACTCCTTAGCAGTGCGCATCCACGACCCCGCCTCGAGAGATTCGAACCCAGGACCCATCAGTCTCGCGCGCAAGCGCTTAACCTCTAGACCAACGTGATGTCTGTTTAGTTCTGATAAAATCCTGTTCACCAAGTTACAACAAATTCACTATTTCAAGTGACTTGACATCTCATACACTGTGTTGAGATGTAAGGTGGTGATCGAATATAGTCCATTTGAAAACCTAGATTTCGTGCTAATTAGCACTCATCAGCAAGAAGTATCTGTAATATTGAGAAGACTGGTGTTCTCTGAAGGGTTCAGTATCCCGTCATCCAACCCTATATTCTTAGACGTTACCAAAAAGTTACTCGGGCAGCTACTGACCTTGTTTGTGGGACTGATATACCTACAATCTACTAATCATTAAGTAATGAATAGTCATGTTTGTAAATATCTTAGTTTATGATATTTTCATAAAAAGCTCTATGTGGTTTTATCCCCCCACCTTAATAAGAAAGTCTCTTTACGGATATTCAAAATGATCCAAGAATATGTTAGTAAACCTGTATTAACATTATTTTCTGATGGCATCATTTTATTGGTGAATGTAGATGTCATACACATTATTTAAAGCAAATAAACTAAGCTACTCATAAGTAATAGAATACCAATACTTACAATATACTGTGACAGCTATCGTCACCATCTCATATTGACTGTGCAAATAATGAAATTTCCACAAACCACATAACACATAACTTATGTTCACATACACATAGAACGTGTACGTACACATATTATACGATTATAATCGGTAATTTAGTTAAATAGGTTATTATTTGAAGCCAGCTCCCACCACGAACTAACATTATCTAGGGAATCGATGAAGACCAATAAAAATTTGACTTTCGTTCAAGTTTTCAACACCGTAGCAGTGTAGTTCAGAGCAAATACTTCCTAAATGAGTTAGACCACATAATAACAATTGGAATAAAGAAGTGGTATCACCAGTCTTTACATAAAATATGTAGTTCAAATTCTATTAAATAAACAAACACTTACACTAAGTCACATTTATTACGTTGTTCTAGTCTGAATGCATGAGATAGGCTTGAGTAACAGCCAAATAGTTAAATTCAGTAAAAAAAATGTTATGGTGAAGTTCAGTTTCCAGAAAAATCCCAAGATCTGACCAAGTACAGATTTCTTTATCCATCCATACATTATCATTCATGACGGCTTGAGTTCTACTCGAATGTATAAATTAAAAGTTGAACAATAGATTTTAATCAGTGGTTGAATTTCAAATACTTTAACAACCAAACAGTTATTAAAGTCTTTTACTTAGGAATATCATAATAATGCTACTTCAGATCACGTCGACCAGTACGTAGATAACAATTAATATTGATGCAAACATCTCTTTGATGAAATCAAATAACCATTACCGCGAACTTCATCTTCTGCAATAATAAAATCTTACTAATTTGAAGACCATGAGTCTAAACGTTACGGATTGAAATCGGGTACTTTTATTTCAAATGATGAGGGTCTGGGAGATTCTTCCAACACGAAATTGGATCTATGCACACTGAATAGACCGGAAGACTAATATTACATTTCGACGATAATCCACCGCACAATGGAAAAACGTTGTCCATCAGAGGATCCCAGCAGAATTAAATTACATTACAATCATTTCAGTTACTTACCGATTAGATCCGATGACTAATAATGGCTGAGTTTATCAACTGAGCAACCGTCACTCAAGCCAAAACCAGTGAACTAATCCATATAACGAAAATTAATCGAACACCAAAGAAACTAACTTCATATTGAATGGATTAACACCCATAAAAATGAACAAAATCCATTTTAAAGAAAAGTGTGAATTCTAGAATTGATTTCCTAATAATTGTAGTATTTTCAGATTTAGCATTCTCAACACTGGGATAAAACTATGCTATACCGTACTCATGTATCACATATTCGATACATACAAATCATACGAAATACATTTCTAGCCAATGAACTCCAAGAGTTCAAGGATTAGAGAGTACCAAAAAGGTTATAATATTAATTAGCTACATCTTTATGCCACGATTTAGAATAAAAGCCATAACTCAGAATTGAAGAAGAGTATTGTACATGACCAATTAATGAATTACAGACCATTTGATCCTTAGAACACAGTAAAATTTGGGTGTGAATAGGCTTTTGATGTTGATTCATACATATCGAAGCATCTACTCCATAGAGAAAATATTATGACGACCCTACATGGTTGAAGCCTGGAATTCCCAAGTTTGATCACGTGACTACTATTGATCACCGTGAGGCCCTTTATGCTACAGAACACAGTCCGCCTGAAGCAATTTTAGCTTTACTATCAGTCCCAAGCCTGAGTAACGGAGGCGAGTCAGGCATGGGGTTAACAACCTCAGCCCATAAAACAGAACATTGCTAAAACATACCAAATAGAAATTACTTGAACTCTACCTTGATAACTGAAGGGTCTTCATATAGAAGATTTATGACGCTCATGAGGAAAGCCGAGACTCTAAAAATTATGAGGTCGATATCCCTTCTGACAACCACAGTAACAATTAATATAGGCAAATGGTATGTCCGAACAATGTAAGGGACCGGAAGGACTATTCAAATAGCAGCGGAAATGAAAAGATACAAACTTGCTAGGTCTGGGATTGAAACCCAGTGGACTAAGCTGGACAGAGAAGATAAGCTTCGGGAGAGGTACAGTTTTATTATGACCATGAAAAAGAAAGTGCCTCAAATACACAGGGAGCTTCACTGATGGTCCCCAACGAAGCGCTAATAGGATAGGAATTTCATGAATCCAGCATCATCACAGCACTTTACAAACACAAAGAAGGATTACAATGAATGTAATGTGCTGTCCACTCACCAATGATAGCATCAAACATAATAAAGATTAGTTTTGTGGAGCTACAGTCCACTGTAGTTTTTTTAGCAAGATTTTTTTCTGCGGGATGGATTTGCTAACCTCAATGTAGAAAAATGCCAGTGAGAATTGACCTTACAGATGAGGGACCTCAACAACAAGGTTGGGATGGACAACGCCGGGTAAGAATATATCATAAGGTAATATAAACTAGAAGGGACGAGAATGGTGAGAGATCGGGAAATCTATGAGCATTAAACGATATGGTTATGGGTAGTACCGTTTTCTCTACAAACCCATACATAAAGCTAGAGGTTTCACCGGACCAAACCACAGAGAACCACATCAGTCACATTTGAATCAACATAAAATCCGAAAATTCCACGGAAAACTTAAGAACAATGAGAAAAGCTAATATAGCTCCAGATCACCTGTTAATGGAAAAGACAAAACAGGTTAAAGAAGCATTGGACAACTTGACAGACAGCATTACAAAATTTTAACACAAAACTCGACTTGCTAACAAGCTCAGCAAATTCAGGATAGCTCTCAGCAACAAGTTCCAAGCCTTATAAGACCTACCAGAAGAAACCCGAATGAGGACAACTGGGAATGAATGAAAGTAACAACTTTAGCATACCAGATGCTGAGCGGAAAGAAGCTCCAGAATAAAGAAGACATCTCCATCGATTCCCTGGGCAAGACACAAGATAGGAAAAACAAGAAGTTGGGCAACAAAAGCTGCACAAGAGAAGAGGGAGTCAGCACATAGGCCGAATGTACAGAAGCAAGTAAACGAGTGAGGAAAAATATTATAGTTGATATGTGGAAATATGTAGAGAACCTAACAACAACAGCAAGAAAAGTTGCAGGGAAAGGAAATATGGGACAACTATGCGATGCACACATCTATTTATTTAAACACACAAGAAATGGTACGGAGGCACCGGAATATTTATGCGCCACACAATTCGTGTGTAAAGACAGATCACGTACCGACCACACATTTCAGATTATTGTTGAGCAATCAATTGAATGAAACTTATCAACATATATCAACTTCCTTGATTAGGAGAAAGTACTCGACCGCGTAGACCTGGAAACTTCGTGGAATCTTCGACACTACGGAGTACCTGATAAGAGAATCACCATCATATGGGACTCCTAAGAAGTAGGCTTCAACATCCACAAGGAAAAAATCAACATCTTACAGTAAAACATAACAAGCACCAGTCAATTCACTCTTAATGGTTTAGCTCTGAAAAGGGTGGAAACTTCTACGTACCTGGGTAACAAGGAGGACCTGATGCAGATGTGAGGGGACGAATTATCAAAGCAAGAGCAGTATTCCTGCAACTGAAGAATACTTGGAACTTAAAAGAACTGTCACTCAAGAAAAAAGAATTTTCAACAAAAACAAACAATGGGACGGTTGTCACATACTACCAACCAAAAAGATTCAGGTTATTACCAACAGCCGTCTACGCAAGATGTGTGGCGCATATATATCTGGTGCCACTTTGTACCAATATTTGTGTGTTTAAATAAATAAACTACTTAAGATGCTTCAAATCTACTGACTGGAGACCATCAGCAAAAATAAACTGTGGCAGAGAACAAGCTAGCTTCCAGTTGAGGAACAAATCAGGGAAGACGTTGGAGTTGGATAGGACATGCATAATAAATGCATAACAAATTATCGAACAGTTAGCTCCGCTGTCCATTCTGAATTCGGATACAATGAGCAACTGAACCGGTAGGACTATAGAATCCCCGAAGAAAGTTGGCGGTACAATGTGTGGCGAAGTAATCAATTGTTTAGCAGTTAACGTGAATTAAACACCACACAAGGTAGGTGCAAAGGAATTACTAAAGTAGGTCAGTGAAATTACTAACAGCAACAAACAAATTATGATACAATTTTTATTGTCTTTAGTCAATACAAATACAATGAAAATAAAAGTAAGGATTTTTATCAATCAATTAAATACAAATGAGGACATTAAATACACATAATTAAGAATCAGTTATTCTAACTTCGACTTCTACGTCGATCACGTTCTTGTTTCTCTCGTGCACGCTTTAAATCTCGTTCAAATGAACTTTCTCGTTCGGTTGGGGTTTTCGAATGACGACGTTCACGTGATCTAGATCTAGACCGTCGAGAATGGTGTCTGCGCTTCTCACGATCAGACCTGGGGACGAAAATTAACACTGAATAAGCACAAATACGTACACGAAAATAAATTCCTTCACAAACGACACAAGTAAAACGAGCAATTATGTTTACTTTGTAGATAACAAATTTTTGATTTCAGTAAGTACTCAATAAATTTGCTCCGAAACAAAGTAATATCTTAGTCAGTCTATTTGGGCTGCAAAGAATTGTCGGTTAAAAAATGTACGAAACTATTTTGAAATTAAGGTTAAATACATATTTCGATCTCAAACGGCAATGACAACTAAGTTTAACAACTTAAGAGTAAAATATCAAGGTAACTAATATATTCTACTGTGCATATTTTATGGAACAAAACGTTACTAAAACATTGATATTAATTCGACTAACCCAATCTCCCATTGAAGTAACTTGGTAATGGTGGGTTACGGTTTCAGCTTTTCCCGAAATCGTCTCGCTAACAGTTGATTTCCCAATACTTGTCTCACTGATGAGTCACAAAGTTATATACCTTTAATTATCGTAACAAAAACATTTTAATCATCTTACTGCATTCACATTATAATTCGTTACTAACTTATCACGTCTACTGTTATTACTCATGTAACAATCCAGCATTGTGATCTTTAAATAGCACCATCATGGCTATTCCTTATTCATATGTCCTCACGGAATTAGTGAGGACATATATACAACTGTACAGTTTGATAAGAAATCTGCTGAAATTTGTGTTTTTATATACCATTATCTATATCCGTTGCTTTATACATCTCTTCTATTTTAGCTCCTTTACGATTATCGTGCAGACCTTTAGTCAGTTTTGGTTTACGTTGTCATTGCTTTTTGTGATTCACTGAAGCTGCCAAGGCGAGTATCCAGACTGCAATAAGTCTGATAGTTTTTAAAAACCACAAGTTTTTTAATCCTTTTAAGTTGGTGGCTAATACCAGGGCCTTATTGACAGCTGTGTTAGTATCACACTAAACTTTCTTGGGACAAACATCTACCTTATGGTCGACTAAGTACTTAGCTGATTCTTTCTTGAGTACACCCTTGACTTTTCACTGAGGTGAGCTCTAAGGAGTGCTTTTGTTCAACTTTCTGTATCCAGTAAAACAGAATTTCTTACTGCAAAAAAACAAAGTAGGAACCCAAATCAGTGATCTAAAAGAGAGCAGTCATATACCGAACTTCTACAAGGAAGGTTGGTAACAATATGGTCTGCGGTGTTGATTCTAGTGGTCACGTTTAGAACCAGGGTCGGATGATCTACATCTTAAGGTCGTTCCATCAAACAAATTATGTGATATAGAAACTTAAATAAGTGGACAGTAACAGGATCCATCCAATGATATTTATAGACTAGACGTTCACAACGAATTCCGGTGTGCTGATAACCATTTACATTCCAGGCAACACCGTAGCAGGAAAATTAAATCGTCAACCAAAGTACGTAATAAATAAGTAGTGTATTCAAAACACGTTCACTTACCTGTGTTTTTCATGTCTGTGAGAGTGCCCACCTGGCTTATGATGTGAACCATCGCGATTTCGATCTGAGAGCCTCTTGCTTTCTTTTTCTTGGGCAGAATCAACTTCTAAAAAGGCCTGGCATTTGCGAAGTCGCATTTTTTCTTCTAGTTTCTTTTGAACCGGAACAGGAATACGTGGAAATAGGGTAGAAAACCAATCTAGTTTAGTTAACCAATGTTCTAACATATTTCCTATCGTCATTATGCAACCACCTCCCGCCTTCACATCTAGTTCCTGAAAGACAAATAATAACATAAAATTCAGGAGGGAACAACAAAAAAACGTCTCATTCCTTACAAGTAACATAGGCTAGACGACTGACCCGAAAAGACCATCAACCCGAGTGAATCAGGAAGTACTACGGAATTGGTAACTTATCGTCTCCGTACTTACCTCAGAATCGCTCCAATATGGTGAATACCACCACCAAAAGTCTTCAGGGGGAATGCAATATCTGTAATACAGTTAGTTTGGATTATAACATGTAATCACCTTATGTACATGAAGCCCAGTGCACGTATGTATGGAGAATCTGGGTGGTCAAGGAGGCCTTTGAGTTGTTTTCTTGTAAGCTTTAAAGTGAAAAGTTTATACAAAAGACAATAAGCCGTTGACACGATACCACCAGCACCCACTCCACGCACTCCACCACACATACCTGTTTGAACCCCTATACGTCGACTTCCACGTTCCCATGGCTCTAAATGTTCAACCTGTAGCTCAATATGGGTCGATGAAAACTCAATCAAACCTTGTAATATATTTCATCAATAACTTCATGGTACGTCTTCAGCTCAACCAAATTGGCTTTGAAGTATGGGGACTGGACAATGTTCGTATAAATCATTGTGTTCAAGTTCATAGTTTGTGGGTTCCCCCAGAGTTTTAAAATATTTCCACGAGGTGCTTGTTCATCTTCATCCACCCCAGCAAGAAGTCCCATTTGAGGAAGGCCTGACACCATCCTAACTAGCTCTTCAACGGGACGTCTCTAAGACCCAGTAGAAAACAAAGTGATACCAGCACTAGAAGTTTCAAAGGTTGGGCACACGATTAAAGGAAGAACCAGCGCCAATGTCCAAGACCTTCTCTTGTCAGCCCTTAAACGCTTGACAATTGAAATAGCCGCCTTTGTGTCGTCCTACTATCCTCGATATCAGTCTTCAGTCATCAGTAATAAGGATAGGAGGTCTATTGACCTATTTTAATCCTTGCAGTTTGTTACACTGTGGAGGTCCAATCTTGTTTTGAATATATCAACAGAAGGTGCTGATATTACGTGTTTTGGTGGATAACTTCAGTAATTCACTACTCGGTGAGAGACACGAAACTCCAGACGTAGACGATTTGATTTCGGTTTTTGGACTTTTTTTATTGTCCTCTCAAATGATCAGTCCTAGATGAAACGAAAAGATAGGACATGTTAGCACCAAGGTCATTGTTCAGGATACGATATGCCAATATTAGATCTCCCTGTAGCTGAAAATAATTCTCCAAAATCAATAGCGTTCTAACTGTTCGACATTGGATGCTAACCACGTTGTTTAAGTGGACTTGTCTAACTGAAGGCTTTCGGTCATGCATCCGTACCAGATCACGTTTCCACTCAGCGTGGGACACAGCTCCTACGTTCACTAGCCAGCTTAGAACAAACGCTTCTCGATATATTGATAACGTATCAAGTATATCTTTCCTACCTCTTCTCGTCTAACTTCTGATTTCCATTGGTCGGGGAAAAGCTTTCGCGTATAGAAGGCGCTACTGGTAGCAGGTTGTAAAATCAGAATACTAGTCTTATCTTCAGTGGCGAGCCCGACGTGATCTGGTACACCAAGCCAATAAACTGTGAGTCTGTTCCTTTTTGGAATATTATTATTCATTGTTATTCTTTATTTGATTTTTATACATTGTGATGTACTTTTTTTTCTCGAGTTTTTCCAGATGTATTTTAATTAAATATTTTACGTTCTTTATATTACTATGACCGAACAGATACACCAAGTATTTAAGTTAAGGGCTATTCCCCGCCATCGATTCAATTAACTCCCTTCTGGCCTGATAATATCGAGTTCTGGTTCTGCTACGCAGAAGCCGACTTTAACGGCCACGGCATTACAGACTCACGCTCACGGTTCCTCGAGGTAGTTAAGGCGTTACCGCGCGAATTTAACAGGTACGTAACACCTAGTATGTTTACTAGTGATGTTCCGGAGCCTCACGAAACTCTCAAACGGTTGATTCTAAAACGCGGAGATCTAACTGATCGACAACGGTTAGACCAACTACTTAACAATATCGACCTGCAACATGGTTCCGCGACGGACATGTTGGTAAGGATGAGAGAAGTCATAGGTCGACGAACGTTCGATGATGGCCTATTCAGACAACTCTTCCTGTCTAAACTTTCGAAACAAGTGCAGGCAGTTCTCGTCTCGTTCCAAAACAACGCCGTAGACGAACTAGCCACATCTGCCGATCGAATATTAGAAATAACGAAATCGACTAGCGCTGAGGTTTTTCCGTCAGGGAAAAACCTCATTTGAGCTCGACCGACATAGCCGAACTATGTCACTTGCTTACACGATATCTTAGAGTTCGTAATGACCGCAGTTGGTCAAAACCCTGCTTGCAAGTGTCTCATGTAGGAGATCTGTCTCTCGTGGTCGAGGAACAGATAATCCCGACTGGTGCTGGTATCATAGCCAGTATGGTAAGTCTTCCAGAAATTACAGGAAACCCTTCAATTATCCGAACTCCAAATCCACCGACACGAAAAATTACTCGAGAAACTTCCAAGCCGGGACGCGTTAATGGCAACCGTAGCCGACTAACATAGCCGTCTGTTATACGTCACGGATGTGACCACGGAAGTTCGCTACCTCATCGACACCGGCGCAGAAGTTAGCATTCTTCCGACAAATCCCAACAACAGACTTCGCGAGTCTGTCCAGGCGCAAACGGAAAGCCTATTGCTACGTATGGTAAGAGGTACGTCTACCTTAACGTAGGCTTGCGCAAACCCATACACTGGATTTTCGTGGTTGCATATGTCTCCATGCCAATCATTGGTATAGACCTGTTACAATACCACAATCTACCAGTCGACACACGCTCACGAAGGTTAATAGACGGAAACACTAAGTTATCTGTTTGCGTAACCCCTTGTTCTGGTTGCAGATTATCACCAGTCACAATTAGGCACGCCATAGACCCTCTATATCAATCATTACTCGACAAATACTCCGGGATGTACCGACCGCAACAGAAATTGCCTTCAGTAACCAGCAATGTTACACATCACATCTCGACTACAGGACCACCTGTATTCTCGAAAGCCCGTCGACTGGCTCCCGAAAAGCTTAGGTTGGCTAAAAACGAATTGGACCATATGATAGATTTAGGGATAATTCGACCATCAAATAGTCCATGGTCATCTCCATTGCACATGGTCCCTAAAAAGGACAGCAATGATTGGCGGCCAACTGATGATCATTGGTGTCTGAATGCTAAAATCATTCCCGATCGTTACCCGTTGCCTCATATTCACGATTTGACAGCTACCTTGAAAGGTACAACTGTCTTTTCGAAAATCGACTTAGTTAAGGCTTACAACCAAATACCGATGGCAACTGACAACATTCCTAACACCGCCACCATCACTCCTTTCGGTCTTTACGAATTCTTGCGAATGCCCTTTGGTTTAAGAAATGCCGCTCAAACCTTCCAAAGGTTCATAGACGACGTCTTCCGAGGTCTTAACTTCGTTCATGCGTATGTTGATGACTGTCTCATAGCAAGTCCGGACAGAGAATCATATCTCCAGCATCTGGACATTGTTTTCGATCGACTCCAAAGGCATGGCATTACTGTCAACATTCAGAAATGCCAAATCGGAACAAACTCTTTAGACTTCTTGGGACACATCATTGGTGCTCAAGGCATCCGACCCCTTAGAAGCAAAGTGGCGGCCATTCTGGATTACCCAGAACCGACCACGATCAAGCAGTTGCGAACTTTCAACGGCCTTGTAAGTTTCTATAGACGGTTCACACCTAAATGCGCGTCCCTTATGAAACCGTCATTTTCGTGGAAATGCAAAATCAATCCGAACGACCGCCTGCCACACACAAGCAAACGGGTTGGTAGAACGTTTTCATTGACAACTAAAAGCTTCTCTATCAGCTACAAACGTTTCACAGTGGATAGACACTCTTCCACTCGTCTTGCTAGGTATTTGCAATGCAGCGAAAGCTGACATTGGATACACGGCATCTCAACTCGTTTACGGAACGACACTCCGACTTCCAGGAGAATTCGTAGATCTTTCGGCTTCTTCATTGAACATGGATCTAAACTCTTACACGAGCAAGCTTACAAACGCAATGTGTTCAGTTAAACCTGCTCACACTCGACCTCAATCAACTGATGTTTTCGTTCAACCTGAATAACGACATAGTACACACGTCTTCGTTCGTCGAGACTCACATCGACGACCCCTCGAATCAGCATGCAAAGGACCCTTCAAAGTTCTTCAACGCGAACTTAAGTACTATGTAGCCGATAAGAACGGCACGAACGATAACATCAGTATCGATCGCCTCAAAGCAGCGTACTTAGAAGGAAACCCTAGCTACGTCGAATTTCTTTCGGTACAATCAGACAATACGGCTCCTACACATGTAGTACCCCATACGACAGCCGACACACACCTTGATATTTCGTCAACATCGGAAAATGAACTCAAGACAACGCGTTCTGGAAGAAGAGTAAGATTTCCAGAACATCTAAACGACTATTGCAAGTGGGACACAAACTTAATCTGGAATCCCTGTTTCATTATTTATTACGAAAAAAATAATTTTTTATATCCTCAATTTTTTTATATATATTTATTTCAAAAAAACAAAACATTTTTTACTTGTGAGCGTATATATATGTTTTATATATAAAAAAACCTCAAAAAAAACATTTTTTGGCTAATCGCTTTTACGCTGTCGCAAGCATCACCACACTCTTGTTAGGATTCACTTCTAGTAACCACCCGTCCACCCATGCCACCAATGAGTTGAAGTCATCCTGTAATACTATTCTGTCTGACATGCTGTATATGGATCTCCAAATCTTTACATCATCAGCGAAGAGTAAGACCGAAGACTTAGCTACAGTTGGCAATTCGGTTACATAAAGTAAAAAGAGAAGAGGACCGAGGATTGTGCCTTGGGGGAATCCACTTTTCACTGGTTTCCACGATGAGAGAGCTCCATTTACTCTTACCCTTTATCTCCTGTCATGAAGAAAGTCACTTATCCAGTTTATGACTGTACAATGAATTCCAAAGCTCTCCAGTTTTAATTTAACACCAGAATGGGAGACCTTATCAAATGCTTTACTTAGATCTACTCAGCTATTTTCCCATCGAGAAACTTCAGCTGGTCACTAAATGTCAAAATATGCGAAGCGTAGGCAGATGTATAAGTTTTTGTGGCGTTTTAAGTCATTATAAATAGGAAAGTTTGGTGCATTTTGAAAAATGAAGCACCGGAAAGACACAGTGAAGAAGAAATGTGGTCAGTAATCTCAAGGTAGTTGTTTCATAAAACAATAGCTTGTCTCATCAGCTTGTCCCTTATCCCACACAGAAGGCAGACTACAGACACCATTGTACCATAATTGTCTACTGACAGTCACGGCTATATCACAGGTACTTAGAAGAACTGGAGTCATACCTGACAATAATCTTGTGGGATTTGTTTCTCAGATCACTAATGACTCTTGGTTGTGACCTTTCTTTTCAGCCAGCCTTCTTAACGTAGACATGGCGATGGTGCACCGTATTTCAGGAGTTCAAAGACGATCATTAAACTGTAATAAGACAGGAATATAACATCAGTTTCGGTGAGGGAATAAATTTGCGTGAGAACAGAAGTTGACTTGATTACGACTTATTTTGATTTTTATGAGTTGATTTCGACCAGTTTACACTTCACAAGTTTCACTGTTATATTTAATGTCTTTTGAAGCCTTTTATGTGTTTAAAAATGTGTTACAATCGCCTAAACCCATGTGAGCACTTGGATTGTAGAAAGTATATGTAATGCCCACCTTAATCCGTGTAGTTGGGGTCTAATTTTGAGAAAGTTTGACCGTCACATCGGCTAGTATATCTAACTCCGTTTCTCCATTATCAGCTCAGTGAAACAAATGGTTTTTTGACATGTTTATACCAACTTATTCAAGGAACAAAGGTTCAGATCTTGGGTGTCCGGGCTGGCTTCTCACTTTGGACGAACACGATAACTTCCCCTAGAAAAGTTTGGATATATACAAGGACAACAACGTCACGATCTGATAACGACACAACAGAAAGTTTTTCTTGATAATTAATGGTAAAATAGCTTTACAATTATTTCCTGAGAGAAC